ATTCACTTCTAAACATTCGAAATTTCGAACAAACTCCCGACACACCTTGCGCGATATGCGTCAGATCGGTGTTGAAAGAACGCCGACCTGCAGCGTCAACGCCCCCCCCCCCCCCGGGTAGTTCCTTGTTGACTACCAGGGCAGTTATATTTTGCTTCAACATTATGTCAAGTGTTCGGCCAGATACAAGTATGTATATGTTATACAGCTATCTTGGATTTCACAGGATCAAAGGTCACAGAAGAATGAAAACATTGTTTTGTTTTTTTTCATTCTGCATTTGACAACGAACAATAATATCAATATTGCCAACTTTTAACAAGCATTGCAAACGAGTCCACAATTTACTTACTTTAGCTTATACACTCTAGTACACTATACACTAATTAGTATTGACCATTTTTGTACCCAGGCACATACTATGCAACTGTATATAATAGTACTATTGGGTAGTACTATAGTGTAAATAAATGACATAATTTTCATTTTGAGTGATTTATAAAAAAAAAATTTAAAAACGAAAAAGATGTGACACATTCAACAATTTTCTGTGATCTGATTTTGGTCATGTCATGCTTTTGTCTACTGCTCATTGTCACTAGACTCTATGAACATAATGTGACGGAACATGTACAGTACTCACTCAGTGGTTATATTGTTTGTTCATCCACCCATGTTTAACACCACATGTCCACTGTATATGTCAAATCACAGAACCAGTCATCCTGTCAGCTAACTTTAAATAACTTTATTTCTTGGTTGCAACCTGGTTTAACTTTAGTCACTTCTCGATGTTACTACTTCTTTGACAAGTAGCACATCTGGTGTTTAGATTTATGTATTTCTACTGTAATACTACCGGTATGGTTATTTCTACTATTATACAATGTATTACTAACTATTACCAGTTTGGACATTTTTGGGTTTTCCTACTACAATTATTAATCATTTGGATATTTCTACTACACTGTTTTAACTGTTCAAGTATATTTGTTTATTTCTACTACGATATATGTGATTTCTTCTATAATGAATGTGTCTCTTTTACAATATTAATATTACATACTGGTATTTCAGATCATCAATTATAGGCTTGCCAACTGTGAAGAAGGACAAGTTTTCAGTCTTTAACTTTTTATCATCTGGATGGGACACTCCAAGTACATCAGCCAATCAAGAGAATAGTTCACAACCTCTGCTCGCACTTCGAGCACCGCCATCCACCAGCACCACTGTTAATCTATTTTCAAGTATACCAGTCTCTATTGTAACCTCACAGTCACCATCTGTTGCTGAGAGCGGTGTATCCAGTATTAATAGTACAGAAATAAAAACAATTCAGGTAATTCCTCAGCATATTGAAATCTAATCTCGCGACCGTGAATGTACACATATTAGAAATAAGTCCAGCATGTTATTATTTTTTACAAGGATGGGAATGCCGAAATCAAAAATGTTCAGAACAGAATCAGCGAACTTTGTGTGGAGTCCGGTCAAACCCTGGTGGCAGCCATGTTTGTTTTTAGTGTTAGAGGACGCTTACTTGCATAATCATTCTATATTTGGAATTCGCATTTCGTAATAGGATAGGATGAAAATGCCTAGTAAAATACCACAAAATTACGGCATGTTGTAACTTATGGTGTTACGGTGACAGATGTATAATAATAAATAGATATGTGATTTTGTGTTTTTACAACAGAATGCTGATTCTTTGGAGAGACCACCAATGGATCTATTCAAGGCAATTTTTGAGAATACTGACAGTGAAGAAAAATCATCAGAAAATGAAGATGATGAGGAAGAAAAAGGTGAGATGAGATCATCTTATAATGATGCTAATTGGACTCCTTCTCACTGCAAATTATGATCAAAACATCTTTTATAGGAATGGACTCCATTCTCACCCCAAATTACCATGAAACTTTTACATTGTTTCATCAAATAACATTGGATACCATGGAATTGTTTTGATTTACCCAGGACTTTGTTGCTCCTATTTTTCCTAATAACACAAACTTTGACAGAATTTTGTTTCTTGTAATAACCTCTATATTTAAACTTCTCAAATTTAAGCTTCTTCCAGTAATCCAGAGTTGCAGATAGAGGGAAGGTCCATGAAAACCCTGCTGCCTGGTTCACAATTAAATGTTACAGATCAACAACTCTCAAATATTTTTGGAAGTAATGCTTTATTGGAAAATTGTGATGACAAAAATAAAGACAGTATAAACAAGCAATCAAAAGATCTTTCCTCAGAGACAGTTGATGACAATTTGAATATGAACACACAAAAGACTTTTGGTCCTGCATTGCCACCAGCATATCACAAACACTCTGAACTGACGCAAGGCTACTTTTCCTACACAAATCCTGATAAAAATATTGAAAGAAACAGTGTGAAATTGCGAAAAGATTCTGTGAAAGTTTTGCAAAGAAGGCATAAACACAAAGATAAACACAAGAAAGCCAAAAAAGTGAGTATGGTTGTTAAAATGTGTCTATATCATAGACTGCATGGAACACAAATTGTCATGCTTTGGGTAGTGATGATTGGGAATAACTGCTCAGAGTATCGGAAAGTGTGAACTTTGATATGTAGGGTATCTTGGGTGTATTCTTCTCATTCACCTTCACCCCCACCCCGTGCAAAATACAAGGCAATTGAATGGTGTAAACCATTTTCAGAATGAATCACATTTGTAACTTGCATAGTTGTAAAAGTCTTATTGATGAGCTACCGGTACTGGTATTACCCCGGTACCAGAAAGGTGAACATTATTTTCTTCAAACATGTTTTGTGCATGACTTGTAATTATATGTCTGTATGTTTTTCCAGAAAAAGAAACACAAACATAAGCATAAATCTAAGCACAAGTCTAGTCAAAGGGAGCCTGATACAGACACTAGTAGCAGTGACGATGACAATGAGGGACGAATTGACAACACTGAACTATTGCAAAGGTAAACCAAATCAATACTAAATAAGGTCGTTTGATTTTATACCGTGTACATGCTTACAAGATAAAATTGAAGGAATATACTAACTCTAACATTGGTATAATACCAGTCCATGACCTGTGGCCTCTGTGGATGGTATATTCAAATACAGCGTATAGCCTTTAATTGGTTTCTTGCAAATGACCAGCTTCTGTATTGGGTGATTTGCGCTTTCCTCAGCAAACCATTGAGGTGCAAAAAATTTTATTTTACAAAAGTTAATTACTTAAATTAATGATTATTTAATCAGCAACCGATAGTTGTTGTTAATTATGCTGACCTGAAATTCACTGAGTTAATCTAATGGGAGAGTTGATTGTGATCAAAGTTACAAAGCATTGGACAAAGAGCAAGCTCTGAAAGTAGTTGGTCTTTTGTAGTTTACTGAATACAGATTACTTGTTTCCTTGGCTATTTGTATCTACAGGGAGAACTGAAGTGTCTACCCCAAAGACAGGTATCAAAATACATTGTATGTGAATTACCTTCAATATTTGGGTTGTCTTTCAGATTGAAAAGTCTACCAAACAAAAGACATCGAAAGGCATCCAAGTTAATGTAAAGCAGATTATCTAAAGAGTTTGTGAAGGACTCTTCTTTTGTATGTCTGTACTTCATTTGTGGAAACATTGTGTGAAATATCCAGCAGTGAAACAACAATGTCTCGACCATTCAGTGGCTTTGTATACAGTTGAGGCTCACCTTTCAAAGCCCATATATATATATAGCATTTCTGTAGCACTTGAATTGCTCACCAGACAGGGTGCAGTATATGCTCTATCAGTCTCATTCCATCATAGTTTCTTTTATTGAAGAGGAATTGCTTGAAATACACTTTTTTAATCAGTCAATAACAATTATTTACTTACCAGTCATATTTTAATTAATCAATAAGCCATTTATTTGTGTTCTTGATATATGAATATGGAGTATGCTGTTATTTTGACTTTTCCAAACAGGAATGTAAAACAAATTCAAAGGGCAAATAAGAAGTCTGTCACTGAAGATGATCAAGCAAATTTTATATGGTTTCTCTATTTTACATGCTATTTACAATAACCTAAATGGAGCCATACAAAGTAACTGTTCAGTAGGCTCCCTCCCTTTCAGATTACCTTGATCCATTAGTACAGCTGGGGATTAAATATGGGAAACCCTTAACAGCTTTCTATGACAACTATTACCAATGACAAGTGGTCCCTATCAGTGGTTGAGCAAAGCTACAAGATCCAGTTTGCCATCCAACCACCATTGATGACAGAACCATCATCAATGTGCCTACCAGAAGATTGTGATATGAAGGTATAAGGACTTATTGCCGAACAGTGCTATCTCAATAGCCTTCTCAACCTGCCTTCTTTTTATTTACATATATTAATAGTTGACAAGAGCAGTGATGGAGTCTGTCCTGGAGTCAACTGAATTAGTACGTGCCGATAAAAATAATGGAAACTCCATACATATGTGCCCCACATGTTCTAGCGTAATCTATAAATAATTGTATAAATCTAAAAGACACATGTGCATTCATCCCAAAAGTCGCTGATACCTATGTTTTAGGATTCAGGGTACAAGGTACCAATTCAATGTTTGCCATTTTTAGTCCCCAATCAAACGCAGTCCGAAAACGGGGATTTATGTTTTGACCTTTGTGCATCCATGTGTCCGTGCATGGGCGCGTGTGGTATCTTAGACATGTCCGGACCAATCACAATCAAACTTCACGCATACATCATACATAATATTAAACATATACACATCAATTTGTTTCTCGATCTGATTCAAAATGGCTGAATGGTGGCCATTTTTGTGCTAAAAAATCATCAAATCAAACATTTATAGATGGATTTTGTTTAAACTTGGTATATACATTGGACATTATGGGACCTTGATGCACATCATTTTATTTTTGCAGATCAGATTTAAAATGGCCAACTGGCGGCCATTTTGTTTTAAATGAATGCAGTTCTAGTGCCATATCTCTGCCATGCTTTGACTGATTATGTTCAAATTTTATATATTCATTATACATCATGACATAGATATATTTGTTCGACTATCTGATCCAAAATGGCGGCCATTTTTTTGCTAAAAAATCATCAAAAATACGGCATTTCTGGCATTCTAAAACTGGATCTTGGCGTTTACAGATGGATTTTGTTCAAACTTGGTACATACATTGGACATTATGGGACCTTGATGCACATCATTTTATTTTTCAAATCCAATTTAAAATGGCCGATTGGCGGCTTGACTATCTGATTCAAAATGGCCAAATGGCAGCCATTGTTGTGCTAAAAAGTAATTAAAAATCAAGCATTTCTGGCATTCTAGAACTGGATCTTGGCATTTATGGGTGCATGTCATTATATTTTTCAGATCGAATTCAAAATGGCTGACTGTTGGCCATTTTGTTTAAATGAATGTGCTTCTAGAGCCATAGCTTTGATATGATTATGTTGAAATTTTATATATTCGTTTTACGTTATGTTATAGATATATATATGTATTCAAAATGGCCGACTGGTGGCCATTTTGTTTTAATTAATGCTGTTCCAGAGCAATATTTCTCTATATGGACAAGTACTCATTTGATGATAATTTTAATGTTAAAAAATCATCATAATCAAGCATCTTCTGGATCCATACTTCTGACATGTTTATGTTCCAACTTTATTACATGTACTATAAACAAAACTATATGTCTTAAATTTAATAACTAGTGGGAACTGTGCCATGCATGGCTTGTTGGTGAATGTTTCCCCAGTATATTTAGTGGCATGGCAACATAGCTGGTCGGTAAACATAAACCTGTATCTAGACATCAGAAGAGAGCCGACTTTTAGTTACATGGTCAACAAGCAAAAGTCATTCCATTCCCAACCTTTACACAGCATCTAATGGAATTCAACACGTAGTAGGAGTGTGGGCTACACTCCTCAACAGTGAAGTTGACAACTCTAATGAGTGTTGTGGTAATTATGGCTTTTTAGAAAACTTATGGTGGGGTCACAGATCAATCCCTCACCTCTATCTGTAACTCTGGTCACAGATGCCTCAATAGTAGGATGGGAAGCCCACAGCATGGACTTGGAAGGAGAGTGACACCTATGAGAAGTGAGACATCATATAAACATACTGGAGATGTTAAGTGAGTGCTAGAACTTTAAGCTTCTAAATCAGGAGGGAAGATATTCCAAGTGCAGGAAATGAAATTAGAGTCAGTCAGGGTGTGCAAAAAACCTTGAAAGTTTCCCAAGACCTGGCGAACAGCCTGTTTACCCTGTGGGAATGCTGTTTGCCTCAGCCAGAAATTTCAGCTTAACTGATATTTGACATATAAAACAGACCCCAAGTCATGTGCACAGGCGCAATGATGATATCGATGTCGAACTTGTACATGTATACGTTCTCTCCCTTCCCATTGGTTCACACAGTACTAGAGAGTGGCTACACCAAATGTCATGATGGCAGTGTCAATGAGACAATTGTTTCCACTTCTTCTGGTAGATAATCCTATTAGATGATACTGACACAAGACCACAGGAATATCCCTACGAGTCTCATAAGTAATTGGTTGCTAACATTTCCAGACCCTTACGGAAACCTATGCTGTGCTTCTACAGATAAAAAGGGGCAGTCTTGTGATTGTTTTTTTTTTTGGGGGGGGGGGGGGGAGACAGGCGAATCTATTGAGGCCATCCACCTCAATATTGTATTGGATTTTACACACTAAATCTACGTCGACTCTAAACAGCTACTGCTAAAGTACCCACTCCGCCCTTCCAGGTGAGTTATTACCAGATGCATACAAGTGCCATTCGACTTTGCTGCCGTTGAAGGTGTTCGAGAAGATCCAATATTGGAGAAGATACTGTTGTTGAAGGCAGTGAAAACTGGCCCATTACTTAGCTAAACTTTACCTTGACTGTCAAAAATCCGAATTTTTAAGACCAAATTCCCTAGACTTTTGTGGGATCATACATACTCAACGCTCACAAAAAATCAACCTGGTTAGGCAGAGATTTCAGTATAGGTATCAAAAATGTGTTTACTCACAGATGACTGAACTACTGAACCACAATTGGAATAATCACAGAGAAATTGAAGCCAAGGATTTGGTCAATCCAACAATAATACTTAGTAAGTCCTGGTCGGAAATTGCAGGTTGATGACTCAAGACAGAATTTGCCAACACAGTGAAAGACTGATACTTAGTGGAAAGCTCACTATTTCAGAATCACTTTCCTGTAGACAGATGAAGGCATCAACTCCATGAGATTGTCACATTATCGGGCATCCAAATGCTAGACATTTTGCATTCAAAACATATGTACACAGACCTGACCATTTATACTACCTTCACAGCTCGGTCAACAAGCCATACAAATGTTGTGGTCATCATAGACCCACATTCTACTATCATAAAGTTTACAACAATGCTGAGCGGTAAATGGGATGGCAACCATTTTGTACATGTCTTATCATCCATCATGACCACTACCAAGTTGAAATGTTCTAGAGACACTCAATTGACAAAAGAACTGTTCAGATAAAACTGTAGAATAAGGATATTTAATGGGTGTCTTCAATTAAAAGTTGAATTCGCCTTAGCAATAAATTTGTATGTCCAGTTATACTTATTGGATCACTTTTGGTTTACTGGTAATTAATCCACTGTTTTGAGATTCATTGAAACCTTTCAACTGGTAGAATGTCCAGGGTTTTAGTTCATGTCTGTGACTCGATAATGAATTTGGTGTGTCTGTGAACAATTCTGAGCAGATTTCGCTCAAATTTGGTACATGGGTTCCTCGGGATAATGTGTAGAAATGGTTAGTTTTGATACCATATACATGCATAAATTAATTAGCAAATTTTCATATTAATTATTTCATTTCATCCTGTGTAAGTTAAGTCTAAAAAACGTCTGAGCCGATTTTTATCAAATTTGATCGAATTGGTCTGCAATACACACTTGCCTATTGTTTTGATTATTTCTGTGAAACTATTCGGATTCTCTCATGAGGCATGACAGGATTTAAAGTTGTCAAGCTGAACATTCCATCATGATCTGAAACAGACAACATATGAAAGCCATCCTAAACGGGGAAAGTGGATTGAAAATACTGCACGAGTTGTCATCCCTCAGTGGTTTCAAGTGATGCTCACGCCTCAAATCTCAGTGACCAACTGACTGAATGTCACGTTGAGCACCACTGCGCATGCGCGAAGTAAATTATCAGGCTAATTATAATGTGAATACATTTGACCTGTCACAATGGAATATAACTTCAAGTAACTCATCTGTTTAATTTGTATGTGAACCTATAGTGTCAAATCCGAATAAACAAACTTATTTCCTAACTACATCTCTTTTCTCTCTCCAAAGACTTATTTTAATAATGTTATGTTACAAGTGACCTAATTATACAATGCCAGGGCTTATTTTGAATACCAATTCAGTCCAATTAGTCCAAGTATTAATAACAAATTAGGCCAAAACCTAATTAAACCTCTTTCCCTAACATGTGCTTAGATCAAATCAATTACACTTAACTGCTTTAGTTGGCACAATTCACTAAATACTTGTAGAAGTGATAAACAATGATAATTCAGATGACGAGACAATAAAGTCGACGCAGTAATTAATGGTACCACGTTCATCACTGTCCATCACTGTCTCTCCAACGACTTGATATGGTACGTTTCGTCATAGAGTCCCTGGTGCTTACAGTCGTGTTACAGAGTTAAACTCCTATTAAAGGGATAAATCCCTTTACAGTTTTCCAGTGCTTGATATCAAAATGTCTCAACGTTATAAGATCAGCTCCTCTTAATTCTA